CGCCTATTAGATGGGTCTGTCAATTCGCTGTTATCTCGATTTTGGAAAATGTTTTAACTTTAGGTGCAATTATCTCAAGAGATGCTTCTTTGGTACTCATGTTCTTTTATCTCAACAACCGAAGTATCTAAAGACGTAGATTTCTGTCAGCTTTTAGATAATATAATAGGCAACATGCTGAAGCAGAACTATTGTTGTTTGAAGAAGTCCTCTTCTTCAGCACGACATCTAATAGCTATTACACAGTGATAATTAGATACCTGAAGTGAAAAATTTACTAAAGTTTAACCTTACAATCTTCAGTGCTAAATCTGGCTCAGAAAAAATAGGAATGGTTTATGATAATAATAGTAAAATAATTACTGTAACTCCTTGGTTATGGAGAAAAGATACATAAACTTTGCCTTAAATACATGGCAGGTATAGGGCTTATCCTGTTCCCTTAAGGCCTCGTAGTGGGTGCATAGCAAGTTCGAAAAAATTCCATGCAATTAGTGTTTGAAGTATGCACTAGGAACAGATAATGACTATCGCGTGCAGCTCTTAAATTGAAGCTTAAGGGTGCCTTAATTTTTAAAGGGCCACTGAAACATTAAAAAAACAAAATAAAAATGAGGCTACGGTGTCACGACATGTAATTTCATGCAGCAAACCCGAAAATCAAGTTGAAAATTTGGATAAATTACCGCAAATAACTATTGTGCCGAAAACAAGCCACAGGCGCCACGGCCACCATCCCGAGTCTCGCCATTGCTATGATTGATCGAAGCTCCATGACATCATAGTCAGGAAGGTAAGACAACTGACTGCGCTTGCTGGTAGGCGATGCCAGGTTCATCTGTTACAATCGGGTAGTTGTTGTTAGTATGGCGAACTGTGGAAGTCGTAACAAGTTCGCCGTTCATCTGTACATGTTCGAGCTGGTCGCCAATGTAAGAGCGATGACCGAAGACAATGTCGGCACCGATAATGCGGCACAGAAAAGTGAGTCCCTAGCAGCCACCTTCACCCGCGTCGGAAACATAGACTGCTACGTGTAAGATATATGTCAGTGCTTAATTTCACCGTAGTAAACTGATACAAATGATACTGTTGCATATTGCAAGACTGTCACACAAATAATAGTTTTATTTAAGGGCGAACTTGAGCAGAGAAAAATAGGTGAAATAAATGAGTGCACTAAAGCGTTCCACAGGAACGTCTCTTTCGAACACCTCTCTAACAACCAGCAGATCAGACCACTGTCACGAGCCCGAGCATGAGGAGCATGTCTCGCGGTGCCGCAGAAAGCGTGCGCAGGCACACCCCATTGTAGACGCTTGCATAGCAGCGCGCTGGTTCTCTTAGTAGACACCTAATTGAAAGCAGTCTCTGTGGCAATATTTTCAATCGTAGATATTAAATCTGACAAGGAAGAACAGTATTGGCACTCACTTTTAGCTGCATATTGGCACGGTTCGTGCTAAGCCCGGGCATTATTAAAAAAAATCTGCTGTTTGTGTATTTCACTGCTCCGAGTGCAGCGTTGTTATTGTAGTGCAATATTTCCCTTCGCAGCGGGGAAGAAGCAAGTGATAAGTCAGTGTGCTGTCACGCTGTTACACGCGGACACATACACAAGCACAGCAATGCGGACAGCTTGAATTACGATTATGTAGGTTTGTGCGAATATTTGAATGCTTCAAATATTCGAACAAATAGTTCAGTATTCAAATTCGCTTCGATTAAAATTTAAATTATCTAATATCTTCAAAGTATTCGCAATAAATGAATAGATGTATATTTGTCCACATGTAACCCCCTGATTGATTGATATGTGGGGTTTAACGTCCCAAAACCACTATATGATTATGAGAGACGCCGTAGTGGAGGGCTCCGGAAATTTAGACCACCTGGGGTTCTTTAACGTGCACCCAAATCTGAGCACATGGGCCTACAACATTTCCGCCTCCATCGGAAATGCAGCCGTCGCAGCCGGGATTTGAACCCGCGCCCTGCGGGTCAGCAGCCGAGTACCTTAGCCACTAGACCACCGCGGCGGGGCATGTAACCCCCTGTAAAAGTGGTTTCACTGCAATGTAAGAGTGCTAAACCGTGAAAACCCCTATCCAAAAGAAATTCGCTTCGTCGCGAAGATCCCTTTAAACTTTAAGGGGCTCTGCAAAACTTATTTAACATGGTCAGAAAATGCTACTGCCGATTGGTAGTCGAAGCTACCGAAGATAGGAGAGGATATGCAAGGTAAATATTATAGCGCTGCACGCGGCCTGTAATTCCAATAAAATTTCGAAGCTAAAAACTGCTTTCTTTCCTCGGCAAATGACACAAGCTCACAAATCACTTGTCACAGCCATTGGCTGATTTGAGCATGATGCGCTCGTCGTTACAGGGGCTGCCGTGGGAGGCAGCCGCTTGTCCACGAGTACGTGCGCAATCACACTGAAAAGCCTCGTCACGAGGTGCATCATGAGGTGCGAGGTCACGAGGTGCATGTGGCGTATTTTCTTTCACCGTGACATTCCTCTCTGCTTAACTTCCAGCTATTTCTTCGGAACGAGAAGAGGGAATGCGGTTGCAGCGTGCAACAAATTTTTCGAACTTCGCAAGTACTGGACTGATTCTAGAAACTTTGCGGCAGTAAATTTGTGAAGCAATAAACACGTTTAATGGCTCCATGGCTACTTGAAAAAGTGTTGCAGGACCCCCTTAAAGGGAACATTACCCTCAAATCAATTCTTCATTTTATTAAGCTTGTTATGACAGCTTATGTGCTCCAATTATAATAAATTTTGAGACGTTAAGTATCTTACAGGTTATCACTCGCACTCTACTGAAACTACTACTCAAGGTTGTTTGATTTCCTTTGAATGAAAAAAAAAATGACATTTGCATAAAACCCCTATTTCAATTCAAAAGAAATATTGTGCAGGTTAGTTAGGCCACAATAAATATTCGCTTTTTTTATTATATGTCATACATACCATTTGAATTCCCTTAGAAATTATTCGATCAAAATCATTATTCACTTCAAACCTAAAATTCACTATTCGCATAAGCCTTTGATTATGCTTCATGTGGTGGCATTCGGCAGTGATTGAACATTATGGCAGCGATTAAATGTTCTCTGGATCATCCTATCTGTGATTGTGCCATCAATGCATCAATGATTCTGGATTCGGGTTGAAAAATATTACCCGAAAGCCGGAGTTGAAATAAAGCGCCCGTGTTACACTGTCTATTAGATTGGCAATCAAGACTGGCTCTGATAAATATTCTTTAAAGGTGAGATCACGAGCTTTCGCTGTAACAGGGAGATAGCGGTCTACTGGGTCCGTGATCAAGCAAAACTACGATGAACGGTGTTTGCGTAACTGCTCGCGATTCGCGTGTTCCAGATTCAAAGTGATTTTCGAGGAAGCGAGACAGCAGAGTGAGCTGTTCACAGCTGCAGTAAGTGCGTGCTCACCAACTAACTGCACGCTGCTATGGCACATAAGTTATCTCACAACCTTGCCTCAGGTTTTTTTTTTTTTTTTTTTTTCCACGAAGGCAACTTGTAGTGGCTGTGAGAGCCCCCTCAGGTGCGGAAACACGAAAGGAACCGCATCGCTGTTTGATTGCACACACTTGATCGTCAATCCCAGCGACTTTCTTGCAGGTTTTAAGTCTTCTTTTTAATTGCAGTGGACCATTTCGAAACCATCTTCTGATCCCGAGGAAACTTGTGAAACGTGACCTGATTGTGCTGCAGTAGCAATATGCCGTGCCATAATTAGGCATCACGAGTCCATTTCAACCCTGCACAAACACAAATAGTGAATGTTGAATGGGGAAAATCTAATCAGAAGGAAAGAAGGATGCAACGGTGACAAACCCCTCTGAACTGGCCGAACTGATGCTTCGCTAGGCAGCAGATCGCACCAGAAACAAAAAACAATCCCGTCTACACTATGAGCCCGTCAGTGACCCTGCACACGTCAAACACTGCACAAGTGGACCGGCCTACAAAAATTTGAATGGCACCACTTCATGACCTTTTAGGCATAACAGGCCAAAGCGTAAAGTGGAAGCCTGCAAGTGTGCTATACGTCACGGTTAGATTGGCAGTGCCTTACTCGATGTGTGTGACAATGTCCAACTAACTTATACGTCTAATAATCTGACAGGATGGCACTTTAACCTCGCAGCAATACTAGTAAATGCAGTATGAAAGGCAACAAGGCCGAGGGAACCTTGGGGTTTCAAATGAATGTCATATGAAATGGATATCTACAGACATGTTCCAGTCCTTCAGAATGGTTAGGACACGTAGACAAGTCCTCATTGCAGTAACAGTGGTAATGAAGCAATGAGTTGCAGTGAAGAACAGAACCTACCACCCTAAACTGCTTTGTCTTGCATTCAAATGCTAGGGCGTAGTGGAGGTCAGCAAATGTTGCAATTACTAGTCAAGGCTCCCGAAAACACACGAGCCAAGGAATGTAGCGCGACACATGGCCTAAACTTTACAATTAATTCTCAAGGTCAGCTGGTAATGAATTCCTCTACTCTCTACAAATGATGCCATATTCCCAAATTTCTGTGCCATATGGCACCGACCACAGGGGTCGGTTGATTTGCTGCATACCTAGTTACTATGATGGTCGCCAGATTCTGCAACGTGCCCGTGTACATGCTCACGATGGCATTGAAAGTAAGTTGCGCATTCAAAGAAAAACAACGAAAGATGGAGCTTAAGCTGAAGAAGGAAAGCGTCTCCTTGCCCCTTTCTGTTCAGCGTGCTCACTGGCTCGAAAGTGTGCGACAAAGAAACCTCCGCTAGTACTTTACGGATTATAATTGTTCTTGCGGAATGTGATTTGTAAAGTGCAGTAGTGAGACTGATCCATTTTAACTGAGGAAATCGTAGCAGAATCTCTTTAAAGATGCCCATTCTCTTTGTGTGTGAACATGCGCCAAGTGCATAGACAGAGCCAAGTTCACATGTCACAGATGCTCACCGAACACTGGGATAGGGTTGGCTGCCTGTGCACAACGGTCCAGGTAAGCCCAATCAGCTGACTTGGTGTAGCGCTGTTCACGGGAACGTGGGTGCACCTGCACACATGAGCATTACAAGGCATCAGTGCAAGCAGAATTGCGATGATAGATACGACATCACACATAACCCCCCTTATGAACCATGTAAGCAGAGAGCTTATTGTGCAAGTGAAGAGAAAAGGTGGACGACAATTGCACAAACATGCCCAGTAATCTATATGGCTGCAATAGAGTGCAGGCACATAGCAAAGCACAGAGATGATGAGTAAGCGATGACAAGTGTCGCATGCAGAGACATGCTGAAGTCAGGTTGCATATGTTACAGCATGAGTGTAAATTGCAAACGGCAGACTTTACAAATTAACATGCAGTTATTATATATATATATATATACCGTATTTACTCGGTTCTACTGCGCCCTTGATTGTAACGCGCACCTGATTTCCACGACGAAAACAAAAATTAAGACATCGATTGCAACGCATACCCATTTTTCTCGCCGGCCTGCACGATCACACCACTCGAAAAAACGACTCCTTTCGGGAGCGTCTTCCATTTAAATATGAGGTACGGGGGGAAGCTTGTGCCCACCTGACGTGTAACAGAGCGTTGCCGTCACTGTAGTTTTACCGTGGACCGACGTCAGCACGCGAACTTCCTTCGCCCCCTTTTTCTCGATGATTCCGGTGCCGGGCATGTCGAAGTAAAGAGGCGTCTGATCGGCACTCCCGATTTGCCAAAGCAGGTAGCCGTTGTTGTGCTCCAAGTTTAAGATGAACCTCTGAAAACTGTGAAGCTTTTCATCGTACTCTTCCGCAGAACTTTCCGCATATGCCCGTTCACTTTCGGAGAGAAAAGCCTTTCCTCTTCATAAAGTTAGTTAGCCAGCACCTGCTCGCTTTAAACAAGCTCCGCATTAGACCTTTTTCTAAGGCTAACTGCATAGCCCGCACTTGGAGCAGTTCTGTCGTCACGGGCCGCTGTGCCGCTCGCTGCTCAAGCATATACTTGCCAAGCAGCTCTTCAATTTGCGAAAACCGACCCTGCTGTGGTCCACTGAAGGCTTTGCGTGAAGCTTTTCTGTCGACAATCTTCTGCTTTTGTTTCCGCCAGTCCTGCACGCACGTTTCAAAAAGTGTGAACGGCCACGATGCAGCCCAATTTCCGTCCGTTTATGCACACGCGATGACTTCCCTTTTAAAAGCGGCATCGTGGTGACTCAGGTTTTTGGAGTCGGCCCTTCTATGCCATCGATGCTAATGCACTACAAGATGACGAACTCCTCAGCACACGTACGAAGTGCCGCACATGAGAAACACAAGCAGAAATGGCCGACGCGCGTAGGGGGCGACCATTTTGAAAATGCCGATGGCAATAGAATGACCGTATTCATTTTTTTTTTTGTACTCGACTCTAACGCGCATGCAATTTATGAACTCGCTCAACCGGAAAAAAAGGTGCCCGTTAGATTCGAGTAATTACGGTAATACTGCTGGCCTTTTTAAGCCCACAGAGGGCAGGAAATATGCAATGAAGTTACAAGAAATCAGCAAAACAAAATAAAGTTCAGCAGACTATTGATAATTCAAACTCTCATATTTCAATAAATTTTAAGTTTCTGGCTGACTTGCTATGCTTACAATTTATTCTAAAGTTGCCGAATTCAAGCTGCTCCATCGCATAACTTCAGTTCATTCATACTTATTGCGAGTCTGTTCCCAAAAATCTTTGCACCCTTTGTTATTACTAACTGGGCATTTGCGTTTTTAAGTCACTAACAGTCACCAGCAAAACCAATTGCCTGCCTACAAAGTGGCTGAACTTGCCAAGCCGCTCACTCTCAAAATGTCATGTTGTTTGAGGATGAAATTAAATAAATAATTACGATGAAAATAATGAGACAGTCTGGCCTTTGAAAATCTTTTGTTGCACACTCCTTCTCCAGCACACAACTTCTGTTTGTACATTTCTCTTTCATTGCAAGCTTTCATCTTTGCCTTCGTGCCACTTTTTTGAACAGTTCTGAAGCCACTTTTGCCACAGTACTCTGATGTCATGCCAAAAAGCATAATATGATTGACTGTCACGTCAATGCATATTTTGTCCCTCAGAAGGGTGAGCATAGGCACAACACTTTTTTCGGCCCACGCTCCCCCTTCTACATGTACCGGGTGCTGCTCGGATTCTTCGCTATCACGGCGAACATCGCCGGGTTGGTGGAACATGGCTCCATCGAATCTTGGCCGGGACCTATCGCAACTGATCTGCAGTCATCGAATAGTGCCTTCCATGAGGCACGGGATGATTTGCTGCAGCCTACGTATGATCTCCGGCACACCGAGACCCATTCTGCGCATCGTGGAACGTTTCCGTTTCCGCTGCGTAGTGGCCATAAAAAGGGTCAACCTTGCATGCAACAACTGCGGCACGACACTTTTTTCGGCCCATGCTCACTCTTCTACGTGTACCAGGTTAGTTACCTAGGTGGAACTAAATGTTATCGCTCCAACAATCCTATGCTTTTAAGAGTATCGTGCCCCATTAGCAAGCGACATTTTCTATGGTGTCTTAATCATTTGAGCGTGTGTTTTATTGATGCTGTGCTTTTTTTTGCTTTGCGATGAATGCTTGATTTTCTCAATTTTCAATACTTTTATCTGGCGACACGGAGTTAAATCCAGGACCCATGAGTGCAGTAGAGTGCTAGCAAATAACGAACATCGAGAAGATTCTTCTAGAAATGCAATCAGGCGAGAAAACTGTGCTTGCAAAGTTAACAGAAATTCCAACTAAACAAAGCGAACTGGAATCTAAAATAACTAACTTAATACAGAAAACAAGCCTTGTGGAAAGTCGCATCACTCATGTGGAAAAAATTGAAGACAAATTATTGGCTAATGTGGACGAATTAGAGAATAGAACCCGTAGACAGAACTTGGTATTTTTTGGTGTGCCTGATATGGAAAGAAATGAGACTTGGGAAACGTCAGAAAACCTAATTAAAGGAATATGTAAGGATACGATGAAACTCGACGACACATCAATTGAAGGAGCTCACCGCATAGGGGCTTTTAAGGAAACCAAGAACCGGCCCATTGTAGCATGCTTTTCGCAGTGGAAGGCTAGAAAAACTGTCTTTAAAAATGATTTCAAAGTAAAGGGTACTTCATACAGTATTTCCGAGGATTTCAGTGAGCCTGTGCAGGAAAAAAGGTGACAGCTGTGGAAATATGCGAAAGATAAAAGAGAATGCAAAGGAAAATCGTGTACGTCTGAGTTATGATAAGCTGATTATCAATGGGCAAGCATTTGTCTCGGATAGCGACACGCAGATGGCCGTTCCAGTGAGGGCGCATGTGCAAATGAATAGAGGCAAATGACCTACACTAAATTCTGTTTCCCTCAATGATAATACAGAGCGTTGCTCAGTGTCTGAAAGGCTTTCTGTTCTGCTAGTAAATTGTCGCAGCATAAAAAACAAAGTCAATAGCCTTATGTCCTCGGTAGCAATCATTAAGGCCCAAATTGTAATGGGCACTGAATCATGGTTGCACGAATCTGTGTGTAATGTGGAAATCTTTCCGCCAGGTTTTACTGTCTATCCGAAAGATAGACATGGGCATGGCGGGGGGAGTGTTTATTTTAATATCAAATAAATTCCCAACCACTGAACTTTTTTTTTGAAAACTGCTCGGAATCTGTTTGGTGCCTCGTGAATTTATTCAAGGGAAACAATGTCATGTTCGGGACATTCTATCGCCCACCGGGCAGAGGCGAGTCATTAAGTTTGCTGTCTGATGTGCTGTCTGATGTGCTGTCTGTTATGCCTTACAGCGCATTTCTTGGGGGAGATTTTAATTTGCCCAATTTTAGTTGGAGTGCTGGATGTGGTACTGGTGATGGTTCCCGTATCTACTCGAAGTTTGAAGAACTGCTCAGATTGTATGACTTACAACAGTACGTGCTGGAACCTACATGAGAAAGCACAATTCTTATACTTGGTGCTTTGCAATGAACCAAACTTAGTGTCAGGGATTACTGTATGCCCAGGTATTAGGGACCACAGGGCCGTTGTCGCGGAGCTTGGAGTGCAGCGTGTACAGACATATCAGGCTCCACAAAGAAAGTGTTCAGCTATGACAGAGGAGATTATGTTGCTATTAGAACTGAACTGGAAAATTTCTTCCCTACTTTTCAGCATATGTCAAAAGCACGCTGTTCGTTAGCTCTGTGGTCAAGATTCCGCGACAAAATACTCGGATTGGTCGAAAGTCATGTTCAATATAGGTACTTGCACAAAAATAAAATGCATAAACCTTGGTTTAACGCAGAAACATGCAAACTTGTTAGGAAAGCTAGACCCGCGTATAAAATATTTTCTGCTAATTTTAGTTTAGTAAACCACGAGCACCTAGATGAAATAAATAATGTATTAAATGTAACAAATCTGCAAAAGATGCGTTCTTTGTTAAATTAAATAAAGACCTAAAAGAAAACCAGAAGTCATTCTGGAAGTATGTAAAGCAGAACCGAAAAGAAGATATATCTATACCAGCCTTAACTGTCGATGGCAAAGCCGTGACATCAGACTACCAGAAGGCGGAATGTTTCAATCAATATTTTTAATCAGTTTTTTTCGCATGAAACTGCTGAACGGGCATTCCTTCTGAACAATGCCGCTCAGAGCAATATGATGCTGGACATTCAAATTGATGTTAGTGGCGTCGATTCATTATTATGCTGCTTAGATGCAACAAAAGCCATTAGACCTGATGGACTGTCCTCAGTAGTTCATAAAGAGTGTCATGACATCATTGCTCTATATTTAAGTATAATCTATGAACTCTCCCTTGAAGCTGCCTTTATTCCCCAATATTGGAAGACAGCAAATGTTACACCCGTTTTCAAATCTGGAGATAAAAAAAGCCAGGAAAAATTACAGATCAATCTCATTAACATCGGTGTGTTGCAAAATATTTGAACACATTTTACATACCTATATAAATTCCTTTATTCAGACCTTTTCTTTACTCTCTCCCAGCACGGTTTTCGAAAAG